TGAAATGAGCGAAATGGGTAGTGCTAACTATTCGTATTCTATGATAAGAGCACTGAAGCTGTTCTAAATACCATATAAGCTAGAGATGCTCAAAGAAAAAGATCTATATGATTACAAGACTAGAAGTTGCCGCAGCCTAGGTCCGATTTGGAGTAGAAGTGACTTTATCATCAATCACATCAGTAGCTCGCAGGGATACATCAGATAGTTCTGCTAGCAAATACTATTGACAACTGTCGAGATACCAACCATCTTTGTGTACAAGTTAGGCATAACATCTAGAATCTGACATCGAAGGTCAAGACATATTTATGGAATACGGTGAGGGGCTTCCAAAAGAAAAATAGCATCTATGGTGGTCCATAAGGTCTAACTCGTCTTCCTCTGAGCAACAAAATTGTTCAAGATCTCTATCTGTACAGCAAAGAATAAACGTCAGTTTAAATAGAAACTTTCACAATTGCTGGTAACTTTTTTTTGCAATACTTCTCAATTCATGGTCTCAGATCCTGGTTTTGCAGTTCACATCAGAATCATGAATTTTTTGAAGGATGGTTGATTTCACATCGCACTGCTTGAAGCGCACTGTTTTAGAATAGTTGCTTATTGAATGTATTGAATTCGAAATAAACGAAAGATAATAAACGGTAAAAACAAAAGAAGATGCAAAAAATATTCACAATCAGTGTTGAATGATACGCTCTTTCTTCGATTTTCATAGTACCAATTTTTACAGCCCGAAGTCGGATAGGGAAGAGGTGGAGGAAGCGACTGATGCCGTTGCTGAGCTTCAACGAAGCGGTTCCACAGTCGGTTCGGGAAACATCGAAGATATCCAGTCATCGGCTGAGGACTCGCCTAGCATTCAAAAGCCGCCATCACCAGTTGTCATCGACATTGTCCCCCCTCTACCTGCACCCGTGTCCGAACCGATAGATGTACGTAAGCCAGGCTCTCGTTCTTCATACCATGGGTCATCTATCACACCACCTACGAAAGCAGAACGTCTGAGGTTATCCTCATCACCGAGACATCTTTCATTGGATAGACAAATGAAGCAGCGAGACGTTAGTCCAAATCCACTGCTGCGATGCCCTGGAGATGCGAGAATTTCACCACGACTCAGTCCTCTGCCACTGCACATTGTGGAACCGTCAATACGAAGTCGACCAGTGGACGAGCCGATCAGGACGGAGTCCAATCCATTCAAACAATACTTTCAGTCAGAGGCGAAGAATGGCTTCAGCAAAAAAACGTATGTTGAAAGAATTCTGTGTAATTTATCTAGGAACAAGAAATCTGATATCTGTTTTATGAGGAATAAATGCAAAAACAAAGAGGCAAGTGCAGCAAAACATCTTAAACAGAAGAAAGAAACCATGAAACCTATTGCATTTGAGTATTGAATTTTTAGACTGACTGTCTTTCGGTGGCTATAATGAATGATTGAATATAAGTACCAGTTATCTATTTTGCAATTTTACGAATATTGAAGCTTAAAACCACCGTATGCGCGCATTAAATCTTACCAAGAGCAATGTTTTGCTCTGTAACCAAAGAATTTGTTTGCTCTTCACAAGGTCATATGCTGAGCTTTCAGCAGCGTATCGAGCCGTCGCAGCGACGATTCTATGCTTTCGCTAGCCACTTGCGGAACAGCTCCTATCGTAGCAGCTGAAAGTGTCGACGATCTGGATACTGAAATATCGATTCTAAACGGCAATATTAGGGACGATGGATCAGGGTAAGAAATTTATTTTATTGTCATTGGCGTTCAACGGCGATATGATTACCTTCTCTTAAACAGAGAAGATTGAAGTTGTATAAGATTTCTTGAACTTTCCATTGAATGTAGTTGAGAAGGACCTTGACTTTTTCCATAGAAGTGTTATTTGCATCGAATTCACGCGACGACTTTGCACTGCATGCCTCGAAAACAGTGCTTTGCAATCTTTTTCCACAAAAGATAGCATTCTGCGAACTAAAT